TTTTGGTAGAGATGGGGTCTCGCTCTTGCTCAGGCTGGTCTCCAACTCCTGCCCTCAAACGATCCTCCCTCCTAGGCCTCCCAGAGTGCTAGGATTACAGGCGTGAGCCACCACGCCTGGCTGTTCTACACTTTTTAAAAAAGCTTTTTATCATGGAAATTTTCAAAACTAGATAAAAAATAGAGGAAAAAAAAGTGGAGAAAGTAACTTAATCCATGTGTACACATCACTCAACTTGAATAATTAAACTTGTGACTAGTCTCATTATCTACACCAAATTACTTTTAAGCAGATCTTATTATTTTATCTGATCATATTTCAGTATGTATCACAAAGACTTTTTTGAGTAAAACCATAATACTATTATCATACCAAAAATAATTTAACAATAATTGCATAATATTCAATACCCAATGTTCAAACTTCACCAATTGTAATTTTTTAATGGTTTATTTGTTTGACTCAGAATCCTTATAAGAGTCCCTACATTGCTATTAGTTGATACATCTCTTAAGTCTCATTTTCTCTAGGTTATTCCTCCATCTTTTTTCCTTATGATTTGTTGGAAGAAAAAACCTGGTCATTTATTCTGATGAGTTTTCAACATTCTGAGCTTTCCTGATGGCATCCCTGTGGTGTCAATTAGCTGTTCTTCTGTCCCCAGTATATCCTGTGAATTGGTAGTTAGATCTAGAAACTTAATTAAATATGTTTTGATATTTGGCAAAAATACTTCATAGGTGGTGGTATGCGCTTCTATCAGGAGGCTCTCTTTTTGTGATGTAGACAGTCATTGATACTCACTTAGATCCATAATTTATTAGAGGTTGCACAGTGGTTTATGTTGTTCCTTCTTCATTTATTGGCTAGCATAATTCTATAAAGAGCAACTTCTTATCAAATATTTAGTTACCTTGAGGTACAGTTCATATAAGAAAGAAAGAATAATTGCTTGATTCACTTATTTACTGGTTTTCAAAATGATAAGTTGATTCTTTGTCATCCTTCTAAAGTATCTCATGACTGCTAGCTTGAACATATTTTATGTGTTTCAATCTATTGTGATTATTATTCCCATTAGTGCTCAAATTGACCTATCTTTGGCAGCTCTTGAATCCTTTTGAAACAACCCTAGTAGACTTCTATGGCTTCTTTATTTTCTGGTGTAACAAAATTCTGGGCTCATACTGAACACTTCCTATCCCAAACCTGGAATCCGACATTTCTCTAAAAAGTGTTCATCTCTTCCTTCTTTGTGATTTGTGAATAAATGAACATTATATTAATAAGACTAGGTAAAAAAATCAAAGGAAAACATCTCAAAGCTGATTTCTCCATTTATCAGAGAAATTGTGAATTCTATGTACCTTATTCCGTGTATGGGATGATACACCATACTCAAAAGAAGAAAAGAAGTAATTTTCATGTTTGAAAGCCTATATCTGAATCAAGTTGTAAACATTCATTTGTATGATATGTTAACTAGAGATGTTTGGAGTTTTAGAACTTGGTATGATTGTCAGTAATTGACTGTCATCCAAAGATTTCATATTAAGTAATGTACTTTTTTCATATAAAAACATTCCTCTTTTTCTTTTATTTTGAAAGGTATCTAGATGGATGCTGTATGTACGGAAATACTTATCTAACTTTGAATCCTTTCAAAGACCCAAACCTAATTGCTAAATCTGGTTAAAGATCATTCTTTCCCCCTTCCAGTGTAGTGTTTTACTGCAGGATCTTTGGGAAAAGTTGTGGCAGCAGTCTGATATCAAGTATATTTAAGCAAAACAAACCAATGACAAGCTCAATCTCCGGTTGTCAGTCTGTATCATTTAAGAAACAAAGCTTCTCAATCCTCTCACTTTCAAAGTAGATCTAAATTCTCAAGGCAAACACAGAACAAACCTAACCTCTCAAAGTAGTGATAGTCTAAGCCCTCCAAACCAACGTAGACTGGACATCCATAGACCTCCTCAGGCCAGCTGTGTTTGCCCCCAACTATCCCACCTCCCCCTTTAAGAACAGTGAACTCTGTAATAAGTAATATTTGTACATTGCAACTATACACGGAATAAATCTGTATTAAATGATAAGGTTTAAATAAGTTACATACTAAAGTCAGTTATAGTCATAAAGTTAAAGATTTCAAACAAATACATGGTTATGAAGCAATTAAATTTAATATTTCTGACACAGTGCCACATCCTGTCTTTGTTTCTTTAAATAAATAACTTCTATAAGTTGTTAAGATTTTTGACAAGGAAATTATTCCAATAATATAAGAGAAGTTGCAGGTTAAGTATTACTTTAATTTAAAATCATGCTCAGAACTCTTAAAATTCTTGGTCTGCCTTAATGACCTTCCTAAATACTTTAGTTTTACTTTACAAAGATAAAAATATTTGTTATAAGGTACATTATTTGTAACATAAACTTATATAGATATATTCATATGCCAGATATTGCATCAAAAATTTGCTAGTTATATTTAAATTACATTTTTAAAATCTTGTTTTGTTTTCTATTGCTGTTTGCTGTTAACTTTGCTTTTGTTACCCATTGCTGGGGTGGGCAGTATATAATGAGTGGTTTGAATCTGGTCCTCAGCTTAGTTTATTCTCTTATTTGGGCAAGTACCTAGTACCAGCATTCTCATTTGTATCCTTGGATCAACTAGGAGATGGACCATATACTGAAAGAGGAAAGGATGAGGATGTTCCTGTGTAATCTGCTTCTGTGTATTTGCTTGTTTTTCTGTCCCTCTTGGTGATTTACTCACACTCAGTGTCAGTGTAGGTATTTCTGTCATACTGTGTTTCCTTTATATATACACAATTGTCTTCTGTTTCCCCTTTCTTCCCCACCTCTCTCTTTTCTTTCCTTCCTTCCTTCCTTTGTCCCCTTTCTCTCCACCATGTCTCTCATTGTCTCTGACTTTGTACCTACTCCTCCTTTCAGTAACCCTTCCTCAACTGGTCATAATATAGAACCAAAGTATATTTTTGCCATTCATTAAAATTTTTTTATTCCTGTTTACAGTTTTAGAGTCAGC